ATCACGTATTTTAAAAAACTAAAAATTTTTATTTAAAAATTAGAATTTAAATAAATTACCATTTTTTTAATGAGATATCTCTTATATTAAAAAGATAGAGATTGACATGAAAAAATTTGGTTAAAATGTATTATAAATGATCTTTATTAGATTTAAATGAGAATTTTAACTCTTAAAAAGACACAATGAAGAAAAAAGTTTTATATTGCTGATCTCATATAGTAGGATAAAACTTTGATTTTATTATATTATTGTTATATAAATCACCTGATTTTTTAAAATTTATGATATAAATATTTTTCAAATTTATTATAACGATAACTTTTGTAAAAAAATATTTTAATAATAGATTAAGGCTTTCTATACGATGACTTTTTTAATGTTTCTTAAAACAGCTTTTTAGTACACAAAATTTAATTTTATACTAAATAACTGTCTTAAGAATCATAAGAAAGCTGTCTCAAACGAAACCTAAATCGATTGATTCGGATCTCATCAAATTAATGTGAATAACATGAAAACTAACTAATCCTTCACAACTTAAATGCCAATTTGTAAAAACAAAACAAAACAAAATTAAGAAAGAGAGAGAGAGAGAGAGAGAGAGAGAGAGAGAGAGAGGATTCGATGTAAAGGGGAATAAGGATCGAGAAGGATGATCCAAAATAGAAGTGCCCAAGGAGGTAAAGGACAAGAGAAAAGTTAGGAGGATGAAGAAGAGGAGTGTCGGCTGCATAATTCAACTCGCATGGGCTAACCACCATAGCCCAAACCAAGTTGCACACTTCTCTTATTTTCCTCTCTCTATCTCTATAGCTCTCTCTCTCTCTCTCTCTCTCTCTCTCTCTCTCTCTCTCTCTCTCTCTCTCTATCTTATTTTTTCTCTCTCTCTATCTCTATAACTCTCTCTCTCTCTCTATCTCTAAGTCACAAGCCCCCTCACCCTTCTCATGCTTTCTTAAATATATTCTCATTTATCTCACCACACTCAACCTCCTATTCTTTGGCTTCCTCCCTTTCCCTCAACACAATATATCTCCCTCCCTCTCTTCCTCTCCCTCCCCATTCCATCCTTCCTCCTCCTTCCCCTCTCTCTAAAATCCCAAAGGTCTCTCTCTCTCTCTCTCTCTCTCTGCCTTAGTTGGAATTGGTGCCTAAACAGTTTTAGTAATTGTAGGAAGAGAAGGATTGGAGATGGCAGGCCACAAGGGAGAGGACTTTGCTTCTCAAACAGAGCAGGTCAGAAAAATCCCAATCCTTAAAATCTCTGTTTTTATTTGATTTATGGCTTTAGATATTACTCTGTTTCTCTCTGTTTTTGTCTGTTTGTTAAAAAAAAAAAACAGAGCTTCTTCTTTGATTTGTTTAGCTGAATGATCCTCTATTGGAATAACTCTATTTTCTCTTAAGTCCTTCAACAATTGATAATTAGTCACTAGCTTTGAAGAACCTTTTAGAAACTATATTCGGTTAATA